ACGTAAAACATACTGGGTGGGTAATTACAAAAAAAAAATAAAAAAATATGATGGTTGCATTTCTGTGTCTCTGTGACACTCTCATAGTGTCACGGAGACGCTGCTCTCCGTGACATGGAGACGAGGCTTTTTGAGTAAATTGTAGTTTAAAAGTATATTTTCTTTCAAGATATTCAACTAACTGCTAAGTAGCACAAATATTAAATACAAATTTTGAATTACTTACATTTTCCGATCAAATGAGCGTCTTTTTTGAGTGAATGTGGAAAATGTTTCTGGCTAAATGAATGTGAGAATGAAACTTGAATTAAAATATGTAGAGAGTGAGTGAAAGTGACAAATAATTGTAGTCAAATGTGTGGATGGGGGAGTAAATGAGAAGAAGGAGCTAAAATTAATTAAAACGTGTGAAGAGTGAGTGAATGTGACAAATAATTGTAGCTAAATGTGTGGATGGGGGAGTGAATGTGAGGATAATGAGTGAACGAGAAAAAGTAGCTAAAAGTGTACATGTGAGTAAATGTCAGAACCATTTTGTTGTGTTACGATAATTGAATGTTGATGATAGATTCTGTATATAGTGAATATATTCGCTTGTTGTGTTGTTATAATTGAATATTTTTCACACATTATATATATATATATCAGTGGTTTCTTTAAGCTTTCTTATGTTGCAATTTGAAACTTTTTGACAAATTATAAATTTCTTTTTAATTCATTTTGTTCCATTAAAATTTTATATTCACAAAAAAAAAATTAACGTTTTGTACAATTCAAATTTTATATTAAAAAAAAATGTTCGATAAATTTCTTTAATTTATTAAAGCTAACCGAGTTAATCAATTTTTCCTTGCTAACTGCTAAGTAGCACGAAATTTATTTTATTTCCACATACATGATCACACAGAATGACACATATATTCACATATTATTGAAAAAAAAATACAAGGGACGTTAACATTTATATTGAAACAATATATTTCTTGACATTTCACTCATTTTTTGACATTTGACGTGTATTTCTCGACATTGAATGTCTGCTAATCTGGACACTTGACAGTACATTTGTATAGAACGACATTTCAAATAAAGTATAGTATTTCTCCACATTTCATTAGAACATTGACATCTCCTACTCCACTATATGAGATAATAAAGTTATAAGCTATTTTCAACATACAACATTCTGAACATGTCACTAACTTATAAATCACCGGTTTGCATCCACAAAATATTACATACCATCATATAAACAAAAATATGCAAACCACTATCTAAACCAAAATATATTTTCCGTACCACAAAATATTACATACCACCATATAAACAAAAATATGCAAACCACTGTCTAAACCAAAATATATTTTCCGTACCACAACATAAACCAAAATACATATTGAAATACCACCATATAAATCAAAATAGGCGAACCTCTAAATTCTACGCATCCCTCTTACCCCTCTTGCGACCAGATCGGGTGTATGGCGTCTTTGTGTTTGCACTAGCCTTCTTCAGCCTCAACGATTGAGGTCTACGTGTAGGTGGATCAGCTGCCATCGAAGGTCCAGAAACAACGCTATCATGAACCAATTGATCATCAATGGTCACACCAACTGTAGGTACAACGGCTAGTACCTCTTTCACAATATTACAAGCAACATATACTGACCCAAGTACTCCAACCCCACCTCCCGACGTTATGGACACATCAGGGATATTGCAAACAACTGGTTCGGTTGCCTCTTCAACATCATGTCTGTCCGCAGAAATATTGGGAGTGAAAACATCATGTCGGGGCTTGTCTCCACTGCGATCGTCATGACCAAATCCACCATACCCAGCACCAACATTGTGTTGTCCAATTTCTGTAGAAACTTCATCAAACCTTCGTCGAAGAACATTCATCTCATCAGTGACATGATTTCTCAAACCACACACATGACCTCCCAGATCATTTTGAAGACTAACGAATCTTGTGTTCATTTCTTCCCTCAAATCCCCCATCTTGCTCTCAAATGCCTCCCCTTGTTCATTCAAGATAACTCTTATCTCATCTAAAGACACAGGTCTTTCAACGATCGGATCCCCCTTCTTCTCTGCCTTCAACGAGATGCAAACCTTGATGACGAGGTCCACCTTTGTTGCCTCTCTGGGATTTATTTGGTCAACGGTTGTTGTCATCGTTCCGTATGACATCATCTTCAACTGGACAAGTTTGTATTTCTATGATTGAGCAACAAGACCATCTAGAACAGGGTCGGCTGCGTCTTCCAATGGAACTAGATTGACGAAGTACGGCTGCAATTCTTCTGCAGCGGTTGCTCGCAGCGTTGCCCACAAGTGCACCTACAGGAGAAGAAAAATAGGCTAAATGAAAAAATATATATTGTGAAGTGTAAGGCAATTAAGTATGTAAATAGTCTACATTTGTCTTCTCAAAAAAATCTGAATATGTTCGGGAATGAGGTTGTTTCGTGCCAGACCACCGCAACATCCTCGGGACATCGTCACAAGTCTTACTCGAGAATTGAGCTCCCAACTCCGGAATTGCCTCGTACGCCCAAATCTGCATGACATTTGTAACAGTAATAACCATATTTGGAGATAAATAACAATGAGCGATGAGAAGAACTGAAATGAACAAAAATAGATGTATACCTGGACAGCAAAAGAGAATCCGTACAATGTGTAAGTCATCCTAGCACAATCATTTACTTTTATCATGTCCATCTTTCTTCCCCATCCACGTAGTAGTGATTTGATGAAAAGTTGAAAACATACTGTCCCCCATGGGTAGACATTGAAAAAATCCAAGTCGTCAACGATGGAAAGAGTTGTCGAATTTATTCATATATTTCGATCTCTTGAATTAAATACCTCTTCAATAATTAGTGCCAACCCAAACTTGTAACGATCGTTACGATTGGCACATTTCAAAAAAATTTTCTCCAGGTCGCTACACGTTATCCGGTCCATATTAGCAAACATTTTATCTTGTAGACGAGTTTTCTCTAGGATTTTGTCAACTTTGGCACCTTTAGGCACTGGACTGCACTTCAAGCCAGTAATTAGTGTGAACTCCGATAGTCTAAATCATGCAAACCTTTGGTTCACCTTAAACCAAGCCTCAAACCGCTTTCGGCATACCATCGATCTGTTTACCATTTCATGAATTAATTGAGCAGATAGATTCAACTCCGGTAACCTTGCAACATGTCCTATACAACTGTCCTCCAACTAACGCTTTTGCTGTGGATCCAATTTGTTGAGGACAACTGATATATATTTTGTGTTGCTCACTTGCGACACATGGGTCGGAATACGTTCTTCCTCCGAAATTTTATATCGGTGTGTCATACTCATCTACAAATCAAAACAAATGAAAACAATACTTTAACATATAGTATGAGAACGTACAAATGAAATCAAATATAACATTCTTGTTAAAATGCAGTGAAAGAAAAATGATTTTTACAATACAATGGTTTGATAAAATACCATATCTAAACTAAGTTGTTTAATTTTTGAAATTAAAACAAACCTGACTTCTAATCTGAAGCTATCATGTAACCATTTTATAGTTGATCACCATTCAAACAGTTCAAAAGTATACACACAATCTTCTACAATTTCATTAAGTTAATTGCCTAATTTAGATATGCAAATAAATCGAAAATGCAATATTCTTTAGCAAAATAAATAACAACAACATAGCCTTGTATTAAATAAATTTAGAGCCAACTACGACAGACCATACGAAAAATCAAGTATACATGTCATAAGATTTGACAAAGTTTTCTATCTGCTATCAACCTATCACAGTTTTCCTCCATAAGAAACCATCAATATACAAATGCAACCCTCAACAAGATGCAGAACAAATTTGATGCGAAAATGAAGCCATTTAATTGTTGATGAGTATTCAAACAGTCTAAGAATGTATAATAGCAACACAACCTGTGTCATTTCATCATATTTATTGCCTAACTTAGATGCGAAATATGCCTCAAATGGAGTATTCTTCACTTCGTACTAGTGTTATTTATCATCTAGCAGCATCAAATTTAGTTGACATATAGATTATATCTCAAAGTAAAAGATACAATAACAAGGACAACAGAAAATACAATCATTTTCCTGATTTCTTTAAACACTTTACCTTTTCGAAAGTATCTCACGTGTACCACTTTTTATCTCAAATTGTATCAACAGTTAGTATTTGCTCGCCCAATAGAATCGAGACACTCAGTGACCTTGACATTAATTTATGTTAAACTAGCTAAATTTTAGAATTTAGGAAGAGCGGAGACTTGGGAAAGTGAAAAAAATAACGAAATAAACTTACTCTATAGCACTGGACTCTGAAGTGTGGTGGGCAAGCGGCAACTGGGAAAATAAGAGAAAAATGGACAGGCTCGTTATCGGCGGGTTGGGTCGGAGTGAAGATTGAGAGACTGAGAGGACTTAGTTTAGGGCTTCTTTTATTTTTTCGTTCCCCCGCCTTCATTTTTTTTTTTTTTTTTTTTTTTTTTTTTTGTATTCGGGTCGGGTTCTATCAGGTTTCCATTTTTTACCCATAACCCGATCCAACTCGACTCGCACCTACTCGACCCATAACCCAACCCACATCGACCCACACCTACCCGACCCAGGAATTTAATACTGATTGACATTTCTACGTTGATTGACATGAATAATGATATGGAAAATTTAGAATTCTTGTGTGGATATAATATTTTCTAACAAAGGTATTTTCGTCTACATAATTGGAAAATGAATATTGACAAAATAATAGATATTTTTACAAATAACTCGTTGAAAATGGACATTACGTGAAATTCCCTCTAATTTGCTTAATTCAAAGCCTTCGGTTATATTATTATATATTCTATTAATTTTGACCTCTTGCGTCTTTCGCTGCCGTTCATTGGAATTTGGTGATCATTCTGGACCACAAATGGATAAAATACTGATCTTTTTCTGTGGGTTTGAAAGGGCAGCTAGGATGTGATTTAGCCACGTGTTCATATACAAACATACATACGTAGGAATGCATTATTGGAATGGAATCGAAGTGGGAATGACTGCATTTACTAATTTTTGATGGATACAGAGAATCTCTATAGGGTTTATTAAGGTGATATTAATTTAGTGGAAGAACAGTTACCGAAAAATGTTTCACTCCGAACTGTATCGAACTTCATGACCGTATTTTTACTTTTGTTATCTTGGCAAAAATTCTTGGGGTTCTGGAATTTTATAAGGTTGTGGTGTTTTCCTTTGGAAAACAACACGATGCTCTTTTGTTTCTATCTGGGGGAGTGAGTGTAAAAAATCTTTTCCCCACCAGCTACGCTTTGCTTTCATGCTGATAATTGGTATTGCTTGTTGTCCTTCTCTCTTCTATCTCTTTGTAGCCATACACACACTGGTACACTGTGTGTTTCTGCAAGTACTGAAATGGATGTCGATGTGATGATTTGGTATTCTTTTTTATTTTTATTTTTTTCATTTCTAATTGTCTTGGTCTGTTGATAATTTGTGAATTTGCTAAAAAGGGTACGCAGTTATGTTGATCTTTTAGGTGTTCATATTCATATGAATTCTTTAAGCTTATCTGTGTATGCTAAAAAGGATACGTAGTTATACTATCTACCGGACACTGAACTCGGTTGATGTAGCTTGGAGATATTGTGGCCTTCTGGAGCAATTTGGTTTTCCATTTTGGGTATAATGTGTTCTTCATTCAAGATTGCTCTGGAATAGAAAGAATTGGTTAAAAGTCACAGGATTATTTCATTGTACAGTCGTGAGTGTGTTTATCAGGATTCTTTTAATATTAATAGGCTGATAATAATGGGAGGCTCATCAAAGTCTGGTCGGCAGATGTCTAATAGTTCTAGGGAATTGAGTTCTTCGTCGGACTTTGATAGAAATTCTAGGATTATCCATGCAAGAAATATCAAGTCCTCAGGTGACAATACAACCCAAGAATCTGGGTTCATGTCCGGAGGAAAGGGGAGGGAAAGAAGTCTCTGGCCACTCACCACCCGCTATAGAACACAAGTTGGAGACTCTGAAGATTCTGCCTCTATGGGGCCCCTCAACAAAACTGTGCAATCCAGTGATGTTAATTTGAGACAATGGTTAGATAATCCAGAAAGGAAAGTGGATGCTCCTGAATGCCTTCAAATATTTTTGCAAATTGTGGATTTTGTTAACCTGGCGCATTCTCAAGGAATTGTTGTTCGCAATGTGCGGCCATCTTGCTTTGTCATTTCCTTGTTTAAGCGAGTCTCTTTCATAGAGTCTGTTCCTTTTCTGGATGCTGGTTCAGATTTTCTCGAAGACAGGTCCAACAGCCAAGCAGCCGACATTAAAGGTTCACCATTACCTTTGCCTCACATCACATACACTTGCACCAACAAGCTCAGAGTGAGTTAGGGGCCAAAAATTATTAGCTCGAAAGGAACTCAGTAAATGATTTTCGCAAATGATTTTGATCTGTTGCTTGCAACTATGTTCAGGTCGGGTTATTTATGCTTCAGAAGCCAGCGACAATGAGCGAACAGAAGATTATAAGTATTACTTCCCAATGAGACAAATATTGCTCATGGAATCCAATTGGTACAGCAGTCCAGAAGAACTTTCTGGGGGTACTAATTCTAGTGCTTCAGACATTTATCAACTCGGAGTCCTTCTGTTTGAAGTAAGCTAAAAAATACCGAAGCTTCTCTGTTTTTCCTGTGCAAATGCTGTTTAATTTAGAACTGATGTGCATTTCTTTGACAAGAATAAATTTTCTAGCACCTTACTGATGTGGTTAATAACATATTACCAGCTATTCTGCACATTTAGCTCTCTAGAAGAAAAAAGCACAACTATGGCAAGCCTGAAACATCGTGTCCTTCCTCCTCAGTTGCTTCTGAATTGGCCTAAAGAAGCTTCATTTTGCTTATGGTTGCTGCATCCTGAGCCGAGTAGCCGGCCTAGAATGAGGCAAGTTTTTGCTGTAACATTTCTAAAATTTCAGTTGGCATTTGTGCTTTTATGCTTCCTCCGCTTGCCTTCTTATTGAAGATTTCTCTTGTTTTCTACTGCACCAGCTGGTGTGTTTTTCTTCAAACATCAACCTTTGTACTCTCAAAGTTCCTTTTATAGATACAGGCTGATGTGTGTGATGCTTACTATGTCCTCTAACCAATTGCTTATCTATCATGAGCAAAAATATGGGTGGGTTTGAAATGATCAATTCGTCTGGAAGTCATCCAAAACTCATGTTATAAAATTTTAAGGTCATTTTGCCTGTTGTACTGACCTACCAAATGCCTTTTTGAGCAAATGTTTCTCTGAAACTCTGGGATTGTCTTTGGGCACACCTACTTATGTCTCCATAAAAAAGATGATATCATTTATATGTGCTTTTCAGTGTCTGCTTGGTGACCCTAAACCCTCCTCGACTACCCCTTTGGGGTGATATGTCTTGAAGTTGCACGGTGGGTTTTGCAAAAAATTTGGCAAGTAATTTGTCTGACAAAAGATTAGTTTCCCTTTCTTATTTTACATATTCTATGCATAACAGTGAGGTGTTGCAAAGTGATTTTTTGAATGAACCAAGAGATAGCATAGAAGAACAAGAAGCTGCTATGGAGCTCAGAGAAAAAATAGAGGAGCAGGAATTATTGTTGGAATTTCTTATGGTGACACAGCAAAGGAAACAGGATGCTGCAGATAGCTTGCATGAGACAATCTCCTTTATATCTTTTGACATAGAAGAAGTCACAAAACTGCTTATGGCTCTCAGGGCAAAAGGAGGTTCGAGTATGGAGTTGGGGAAGAATTCGACTTCAGGTCCAGAGAGAATAATTACTGATGATGATGATTCTGGTAGCTCAGTTTCTAGAAAGCGTTTCAGGCAGGGGCTTTATAACAATAACCCAGAAGAATCTGGTGACCAGGCAGATGAGCATCAGAAATCAGAAATGCCTTCTGGACCACAGGGAAATGTTCTCTCCAAAAGTTCTCGGCTGATGAAGAATTTCAGAAAATTGGAATCAGCTTACCTTTTGACAAGACGCAGGTCTGTCAAACCAGTAGCCAGACCATTGACTCAACATTTTCCAGTTAGCAGCAATGTCAGGGGATCTATGGCAGTCACTGAAAAAAGTTCGATTAGTAATCTTTCAACTAAAGAACGGTATAGTGAGAGTAGGCAAGGTGGATGGGTGGATACATTTTTAGAGGGATTATCAAAGTATCTCTCCTTTAGTAAGCTGAAAGTTAAGGCTGACTTGAAGCAAGGGGATCTTTTAAATTCATCCAACCTGGTGTGCTCGCTGAGTTTCGACCGCGATGGTGATTTTTTTGCGACTGCTGGTGTAAACAAGAAGATCAAAATTTTTGAATACAATTCAATCATAAATGAAGATCTTGATATTCATTATCCTGTGGTGGAAATGACAAGTAGATCAAAGCTTAGCAACCTATGTTGGAATGGCTATACCAAAAGCCTGATCGCTTCGAGTAACTTTGAAGGGGTGGTGCAGGTTCCTCACAATAACCCTATATACTATTGACATATAACTCTCCTTAACTCTTTTATGTGATATATTTTCCAGGTATGGGATGTCACGAGAAGCCATATTTTCATGGAAATGAAAGAACATGAGCAGCGTATATGGTCTATTGACTTCTCAGTGGCAGATCCAAAAATGCTGGCCAGCGGGAGTGACGATGGCTCTGTTAAGCTCTGGAATATCAATCAGGCAATTCTATTTTTGTAATTAATGGACATCAGCTTTGAAACTAAACGGGCTACAGTCATCTAGTTATCTGTGCAGATTGAACTCTGAATGTGTAATAAGTTGTTTCTCTTAAATGGATTGCTAATGCAGGGAGTAAGTGTCGGTACCATTAGAACAAAGGCCAATGTTTGCTGCGTTCAGTTCCCCGTGGATACTGGCCATTCCCTGGCTTTTGGTTCAGCTGACCATAGAATATATTTATATGATCTACGTAACTTAAAAATGCCTCTATGCACGTTAGTTGGGCATAATAGAACTGTGAGCTATGTGAAGTTCATAGATTCATCTACTCTTGTTTCGGCATCTACGGATAACACTTTAAAGCTTTGGGATTTGTCAATGTGCACATCAAGAGTTCTAGATTATCCTCTCCAATCATTTACAGGACACCTTAATATAAAGGTATCTTGATCTTCTCTCTATTTATGAAACCCGTTAAATTTCATTTTATATTATCCCATTTATTTGACATTTTGATTTGTCTTTTGAGAAAGTTATTTAAAATTTAGTTACATTGTACAAGATCAAGTAACGTTGTGCTCTTTTCCTTTTTGGGCTCTAACAATTCAGAATCCCAGTCTGGTTTTAATGACTGGAAAGATGAGATGGAAAGGAACTTCCATTTTACCTGGTCAAACACTTTATTTTAACCTTTATCTGATATCTGCCTGCATCATTTGCAGTATGAAACAATAATGTAATTGTCTTTGGTAATGAAGCTTTTCATTCATTTAATTTGACATTAGTCCTGATCTATGTCTCCATATCCTGCGGGCAAATGTCCCGTATAATGTGTTTAACGCATTTGTCTGATGTCATCCTGGCCTTATTCATAATCCATGATTTTTTCCCATCAATTTCCAATGACATGTGATCATACTCGACATCTGATGGTAGACATTGTTTTGTTGCAGAATTTTGTTGGCTTATCCGTATCGGAAGGTTATATTGCAACTGGCTCGGAAACAAATGAGGTATCTCACATCATCACTTTAGCACTAACCGTTTTGACCCCTCGTGCTCTAATATAGTTTTTCTTCTAACTTCATTATAATTGTAAGTCAACTGCTGTTTCTTTCCAGAGAAACAGTAAACTGAAGTTGGTCAATTTTTTAGGAAAGGTCGTCTGATCCAAGCATAATGATTGTTTCTATTCTTCTGTGTTGGATAATATCCTTCCCTATACAGGTTTTCGTCTACCATAAAGCTTTCCCCATGCCTGTATTATCATTTAAATTTACTGGCACGGATTCACTTTGTGTTGATAACATGGATGGCACCGCCCAATTTATCTCATCGGTCTGCTGGCGTGGTCAGTCGACCACCTTAGTTGCAGCAAATTCCATGGGACATATTAAGCTTTTGGAGATGGTTTAATTTGGTTAATCATGGGCACTGGAGAAGCAAAAACAAATGCTTATACAGGGACAAAACCTGAAAAGAAAAGCAACTACGGCCAGAGGAGTTGATGCCTAAGATCTGCTTTATAGAAGGTTATAGTAACAAGAAACAGATATCAATAGGAACGTATTTTTGCCCTTAGTTCTTAGCGAACGAATTTAACTTGAAGAGTGAAATTTTGTTTATATATTCAAAAATTCTTATCAAGCATTTTGTTGTGGTATCATACCAACCTCAGTTCCCAATTAAGGATGGGGTAGAAAGTGATTGCTTGGGCCATGATTAAGTACTTGTTTGGTAGTGTTTTTTAAGTGTTTATAAATTGTGAGTCCTGTAAAATGCGTGAATTCAATGTACCAAAAGTTAAAGGTATACTGTGTGAGAAATTTTGTGCATTTGTAAACTATAATCTGCAGATTTGGGTACAATCCACTGATCCTCGTTATATAGCAATGGAATAGTTGTAAGCAGGGCTAACCGCGAGATTTTCCTCCTGACCAATCATCTGAATCTTCGGATTTGTTATCTGCATTGCTAATTAGAACCTACCAAACGATGGTGTGAGTAGATCAACGCCTACTCTGATACAATTCTCTTAAGACTCGTTATTTTTGAAACTTGTGAAGAAAGATGCAGGATCTGTGTGCACCTTTCTCCATCGTTGATGAAGAACAATACAGATACTTATCTAACCACATGGATGGTGAGCTACCTTGTCTGTCAGCAGTTTATTCATTAGTTGCTGAAGCCTCTGTGCGCCTCTACCTGGTCTGAGTACGGTTGGATTACCTACCTTGGCACAGCGAGGCTTGCCTTTGCACCATCCACCAGGTGTGAAACTCCCATTTCTTCGACCAAGTAATTCTCTATCAATTTTATCCAATACCCTGCCATCCTTCTTGAACTTCCGTGCAAATGGAACCCCACTTTCAATCATTTTTGCAGTATCATTAATGGAGAGGGTATGGGGATGCTGTTTGGGGGGGAAATCCCAAGAAATATAGTGCATGTCGTGGTTGACAACAGTCGGTTTAAACTCTGGAGAATTGCAGATAACAGTCTGAAAATAGCCTTCTGGGGAGGACACGAAATTTGAGTAGTACATGAGTAGGGTTCTCGGAAGATTATCCCAACCCCATATGCAATACTCAACAAATTGACGCGATAGGATCATCCAAGCTGAACCTGCAAAACATGCAGTGTGGCAAATTCAGAAAATGCTATATCAACGAGTCAGGTAGAAGTTAATATGTGAACTGACCAGTGAACAATCTGAACGCAGTGGGCAAGGTTCTTCCCGGTGTGACCCAAAATATATTAGACTTGTTTTTCTGGTAAAGTCCAGGGTCTATAATCAATGGCATTCCCCTTCCATGCCTGCAAAAACCAAATATATTATTCCATGTTAATGGTTTGGTTTTCCATCTTATCGATCACCGTTCTTGAATCAAACAAGCACACAAAACTTACGCTTTCCATCCTAGATTGCTTGTGTGCTCAACGAAATTCAGTTTCCGGCTTACATTGGAAAATGTGTACATAAGATCTGCAACAATGAACTGGCTATGTTAGAAGAACGACAGCAAAACAGCTAGCATAAACTAGCTACTGTGTGATAGCAGAAAAAATGAAAAGGCTCACCATCTTGAGTCACCAGGGGATAATCTGAAGCACTGAGGTTGATAAACCAATCCCAATCTTTATTTTGTTTTAGAAGAATGGCACATGCATGAAGAGTATTAGATACCATTGTAGGTCCTCTATAAGTAACCATATTTGCTTTGGTATTCACATACACATTCCCAACCTTTGAAAAAACAGGATCATTTTCCACTCGAGAACTGAGTTCCTGTCTCTCTTGGGGAGATGATTCAAGATCCAAATGAAGGACATAATAGTTCCATGGATGATAAAGTGTATGAAGTGTCCTCCAAAGCTTATCTAAATCGCCTCTCGACCCAGAAACCAAATAAGCGAACTTTGGAATCGAAGGAAGAGCAGAAGGCGGTGGAGCTTGATTAACCTCTGCCTCAAAGTAAACATCGGTTTGATTGGACACAGCATGGGATGGGAAGACTGAAAAGATAGAGTTGATTGTGTGCAACGATGACACGAGCCCCATATTGAAGGAGTTTGCAAGAAGGAAAACACAGAGTAATGAACTTATAACAAGAGGAAATACCCATTTCTTCTCTGCATTCATGTACCCCATTGCGAAAACTTGTCTACCAAAAATTTCTCATCAATGAAATTGCTCTCTGTTCTGAACAATTCAACAATTAGCCACTGAAGGTTCCAATAAATGGGGCGGATTCTTAATCCCAACAGTAGCACCAAATGTTCAAACAAGGATCAACGACGTGGTTGACCAGATTCCGTGAACTGTACTCTTCCAAGACATGAATATGTCTGTCGAATTAAAAAACAATTAACGAAAGAACCGAGTCTTGTCTTGGTTGAATAATTTAATACCATGTTCAAGGATTGATCTACATGTTTTATAAGCATACACGATATTTCCTATAAAGAAATTAAGCATACCAATTCAAAAATCTCGTAACTGTATAAAAAAAATTGCGAAATTGTTCATCTCCAAACAAAGGCAAGAAAATAGCACCAATTTCAAATCAAATCTTAAATCAATCTCCAGAAAATAGTCTCAAATTATGAAACCCAGGGCTGAATATCAACTATTCAAAAGTCGAAATCATATCAAAAGTTTTTGGGCTATAGATCACGAGATAAATTAGCGAAACAACAAATTTACCCAAAGAGAGTTAAATATAAATAAACTGCATACTACGATGAACATAGAATATACATGCATAACAAAATAACAGCCAAATCACAGCTAAAATTAACGATCTCTCTCTTAAAATATGAATCTGCAGTGTATACATGTGTGAGAGAATATAAAATACGTACCCTTTTGTTTCATTTATTGCTGAGATGAGAAACAGAACGAGTACAAACATATATATAATTTTCTGCAGAATATTCCAATCGATCAATCAATTGGAATCAGAAAAAATCACACACATACACACATACACACAGAATCTGCAATTCTGGTTGTGTGTATGTGTGTGTGTGTGTGTTTTTTTTTCTGTTTGAATAATATGAATTTGTTTATAGAATTTGATTTGGAATTTATTTATTCCCTGTTTCTTTTGACCCAGAAATTTCCCCATTATTTCCGCCATTTTTGTTCATAATAATTGTAACTAACTCATTTCCACCACGAATTTTACATCCAACGGTCTATTTAGAATAAGGGCGCGTTTGGCAAGAAGTCAAAATGAACTTTTGAGATACTTTAAGACTTATTTGACTAAGTTTATGAAAGAATTTTTTCTAATTAGAAAAGTTTTTAAAAGTTCTTTCTTTTAAGAACATTTTCATAATACAAAACTCTTTTAAAAATGAGTTTACAAGCAAAAATAAAGGCAACTTCCTCCTAAAACTATTCTATAAAAAGTAAAAGTAAAAGCAAAAATTATATCAAACGAACCCCAAGTCAATGTAATTAAAATTGTACATAAAGTTAGCTTATAATAATTTCTTTATCCACATAGAGACAATATTACCTAACATACTCTTAGGGTCCATTTGGTAGGATTTCTGCTTTTTTAGAAAAACTTTTTGAGTAAATTAATTTAAGTCAACTTTTTCTAAAAATTCTTCTGATCGAACAAAGTATTTTTTAAAAAACTATTCAAACATGTTCAAAAGTTCCATACAATATTCAATTTCGTCTCATAATATTTATCAAGCATTGGTTTCTAAAGTATATTTTGCAGTGAGTGAAAATCTTTTCAATTTATTTACCAAAACATAAAGTCAATAATTGGAATAGTCTTTTTTATTAGTAAATAAAAAATTATTTGTTTGCAAAGCAAACACAATTCAAGTACGTCATACAAATCAAAGAATAAATAAATAAATATCATGTGATTCGGTGAATAAATCAGTAGAATATCCAATTATATGGTACGATTTTAGTAGAAATTAGTAGAAAAAGGTACTTACATATTCAACCGTTGACAAAAATTATTTTTCTCCATTAATTAAGGGATTTTTTTTTGTTTGTATTAATTAAGGATTTTTCGATTACTTATTATTATTATTATTATTATTATTATTATTATTATTATTATTATTATTATTATTATTATTTAAAACCAATTAGACTAATATTGTTTCGTAACCTAACAATCACGGAAAGGTCTATTTTCCACTGTAATTAAAGTCATTCAATGAAGGAGCATAAGGGGAAAAAAGGACGAACGTTGACTTGGAATAGTCAACATTTAGCCCTGCCTCCATTAAAACTAAATTTTGAAAAAAATAAAAAAATAATAAATAACGATTTTTTGGAGAATATATATTTGATAAAAAATAAGAAAATTTATTGAATTTACATCTAATATTATTTTATGAAAAAATTATATAGTTGAAAATGAGTTTTTAGAAATACATTTTTTGAAAAATTGAAGCTCAAACAGATCCTTAAAATCTCTAAGGCCATGTTTGATTGGTCATTATTTTTCATTGAAAATGGAATTCAAATTCCAACTTCTACTTTTTGACTGTTTGACTGCATATTTTTTCCATTGAATTGATTTTCTTGGTTTTCTTGGAAAGTGTTGATTTTCTTGGTTTTCAAGGAAAACCAATTCACACATAGGTTGTTGATTTTTTTTTATTTTTTTTATTTTTTTTTTTTTGAAATGGAAACAAATTGTATCTTTAATTGTAAAAAATATTTTTTCTTTAATTGACAATTTTCATGTAAAACAAAGTCAAACGAATACCAAAAGATAGATGATTTTCTTAGTTTTTTTTTTTTTTTTTTGTAATGGAAACAAATTATATTCACAATACCAATAAATTCTATCACTTTAATTAACAATTTTCATGAAAAATAAAGTCAAATGTGTTGTAAAATAATGAAATAATTATTTAGTATTATTATGATACATAGATAAGTTTTATCTATAGTTTAGAATATCTATTTTATTCCAATTGTAACTCTTATTTTGGACGCTATAAATATAGGATATTGGTTCATAATAATATACAATTGAGCTTTAATTCTTTATTTCTTCTCTTATTTTATCTCTTCCCTTTAATTTTATAACACGTTATCAGCACGATAATTTAATTTTTTCAAAGTTTGTAGAAGTAGTAATTTTTTTTAAGCATAATTATTTATCACGTGTATCAAAATTAATTTGATAATGTGTGAATTTTACGTTGGAATCATATTATTTCTGTTGAAGTGATTACATGACCTGCCTAAATTTGTCCCTTGATTCTGCCGCCCATTATTGCATAGACACAATGGTTTATGGTTAAAGCAAAAATAACATATTACGTGACTTGCCTCAATTTTGTGTAATTGTTTAAATGTAATTCTTTTGTTAACTTATTTTAGCCAAAGTTTAGCATGCAAAGGTAATGATTACTTTTCACTCCAATCATTATTTTTTTCATATCAGTGTATGAATTCATCCAATCTATACTATTCCATCAATTTTTTTTTCAAGAGTTATTCATGTCTTTTCTCAATTTATGTGTAAGACAGGAATTAATATCCAACAACACATCTTTCAATAAAATAAAATAAAAATTGTGTAATGATTTTATATTATTGCACATGTAACTGTGTCTGTTGAATCAGTATTTGTCATTCAATTAATTATCACGTTATATTCTTTTAACACTAGTATAATTTATGAATTTAGTACTTTATTTATTTATTATAAATAATTTGTTGTTGCTTCCCAAGTAGCACAACATTATAATTAATATTCTCGAAAAATATTATTTGCTCCTGAAGAGCATAAATTATATTTTTCAATATTCCAGAATAATATCGAAATATTGATCTTGAAGAAATAATAATAAAATACGTGCTTCTGAAATAGCATATGTTTCGAAGAACATATTATTTTAGTGTTTATCCTTGAAGGAAAACACATAACTTATGTCATATTGATATTGATTACTTGATTAATTATTATATGATATTTAATCATATTTTTCGAAACTAATTATATTTTCTTTTACTTTATTGTATAGTTAATCAAATGGCAAATATCACAAAACTTGAGTTTGCTACACTTGACATCTCTGGCAAAAATTATTTATTATGGGTACTTGATACTGATATTCATCTTGTCTCAAAAGGTTTGAGATAGACAATAAAAGAAAGAAATAAAGAATCCCTATAGGATCGTGTAAAAGCACTCATCTTCCTGGTTAAAGCAAAAATAACATATTACGTGACTTGCCTCAATTTTGTGTAATTGTTTAAATGTAATTCTTTTGTTAACTTATTTTAGCCAAAGTTTAGCATGCAAAGGTAATGATTACTTTTCACTCCAATCATTATTTTTTTCATATCAGTGTATGAATTCATCCAATCTATACTATTCCATCAATTTTTTTTTCAAGAGTTATTCATGTCTTTTCTCAATTTATGTGTAAGACAGGAATTAATATCCAACAACACATCTTTCAATAAAATAAAATAAAAATTGTGTAATGATTTTATATTATTGCACATGTAACTGTGTCTGTTGAATCAGTATTTGTCATTCAATTAATTATCACGTTATATTCTTTTAACACTAGTATAATTTATGAATTTAGTACTTTATTTATTTATTATAAATAATTTGTTGTTGCTTCCCAAGTAGCACAACATTATAATTAATATTCTCGAAAAATATTATTTGCTCCTGAAGAGCATAAATTATATTTTTCAATATTCCAGAATAATATCGAAATATTGATCTTGAAGAAATAATAATAAAATACGTGCTT